TGAGATTGTTGGTGTTTTGTCCTGTGTATTTATGTGTTATTATTAGTCTTTTCCACCACTATTCCTCTGCGAACAGGAGTAAAGGTGCAAATAAGAATTTTAATTTTATATTTATTTCTATTTAAGGATGTTAATTTTGTCATTTTTTAAATAAAGATGTCAATTTTTAACTTTTTTCTATTTAAAAATGTTAACTTTCAATTTTTCATTTAAGGATGTCAACTTTTAATTTTTTTAATTTAAGGATTAATTGGTGGTGATACTGACTTCAGCTAACATATTTTTCTAAGTTAAATATTTGAATTGGTCCCTCAACTTTTATTTTTGAACCAATTCATCTTTAAATTTCAGGAAGTACCAAAAACATCCTTCAACTTCAATTTTCAATTTCGTCTTTTCGTCAGTTAAATGTTGATGTATCTAATTTTTTCGCTAAGTGATTGACTATTTTATATTTTCAATATTAGGTGGAAAATCCATCATGTAAAAAATGATTATGTGGATTTTTTTAGTTTTAAATAATTTAAAAACTACTTTAATTCTTATTTTTACTTTATTTATATTTAAAAATTAAAACAATTAATATATTTCTCCATTTAATTAGTCCCACCTACCATTTAATAAAATTAAATAAAAGTTAATTAATTCTTCCATGAATTAAGAAATAATTTTATTAATTGAAAATTGAAGTTGAAGAACGTTTTCGATACTTTCTAAAGTTCAAGGATGAATTGGTTAAAATATAAAAGTTGAGGTATCAATTTATGTATTTAACCTAAAAAATGTTAGCTGACATCACCATCGCTATCAATTAATCTTTAAATAAAAAAAGTTAAAAGTTGACATTTTTAAATAGAAAAAAATTAAAAATTGACATCCTTATTTAAAAAATGACAAAATTAACATTATTAAATAAAAAAAATAAAGTTAAAATTCTTATTTGCACATTTACTCCTGCGACAGAATCTTCATCTTTTACTAGTGTTTCTTTGAGCTTTTCCCCTGTTTTCCCCTGTACCATTATCATTTTGTTGTAACTGAATAAGATTCGGTTTCTTGTACAATAATAAATTTACTTGGTTGTGAAAGTTCTTCAACTTTATGTTTCATTTTGTTTGTATCTTTGTGTTAGTTTCTGAACAACAAAAGACCTGTGCTTTATGTCTCATTTTGTATTTTGTATGTCTGTGTGTGTATATATATAAATCAGTTTCTGAAGAACAAAGATAAATATCATAACATACAAATAAAACAGAGAACAATAGTAAAAAGTTAGGTTGGTTTACAAATTCCATTTTTTCTGTAATCAAAGTGATTAATGAAACATAAAGAAAAATGATTACATATAAATGATTTTTTTAATCTATATACTTAGAGTATATATCAAGAATGTGTTTATTATATTTTTTAATCATTAAGTCTTATAAAAAGTAAAAAAAAA